ATCTGTAATAAAAATAAAAAACAATCATTTCATTGTGTGGTTCCTGTTTAGGTAATGATAAAATTATAAAAAAAAAAAGATTGACGTACTTACTTACGCAGTTTGTCATTACTGAGAATTTAAAGGACAATATTGGTGTCAGTCATTATCACATATGTGATAGAACTGGTTAAACCCATTCCAAATATAATTCGCCCATGTATCTGTTATCACTTATCACTTCAGTCAGTTATATAGAAGGATAACTTGTGTTTTCCTTTTGCATTGGTCACTTCCGTTGGATGAACCCTTCATTACCCATCTATCGTAGCAATGATCTCTGTGATAAAATTATATTTGGAACGTGTTTAACCAGTTCTATCACATATGTGATAATGACTGACTCTAATATTGTCTTTTAAGAGGGAAATCTTGAATATTTATTAGGGAATAAAACTGATTAATTCTACACGGACATCATTAGAACTTTTTGGACCAGGAACTGGTTGCTAACCACTACTCATCTTCTTCTTGTTGTTCTTCTTCTTGGGGTGACGTTCTTTGAAAAAGCTGAAGGCTCCGTTAATTGAAGTCCGATCGACATGAAAATTGGCATGCTTTTTCTTTGAAAAATTCAGCATTAATTTGGTAAATTAGATTTTTGAATGTCATCCAACATGGTCAGTTCCTGGTCCATACTACGATTTTACTTGTTAATCTAGTTCCAAACAACTATCTAAAGTTCGAGGAGTTGGTCGGCCGAATAGTCTAATGCACGATCATGAACCTCATGAGTTTTCTCCAGGTAATCCAGTTTACTCCCACAGCTAAAAGACCTATACACAAGCAAATTATCATAATAAATTTGCACCATATGTTAGTCCCGCAGTGACCTAGTTTGTGTCTTGTGGTCGTTAAACCTCATTCCTCTCTATATCTAAAGTTGTGTGATATCTGGTATTCTGTATGGTTTGAAAGAATATATTAGTGTTTCACTTAGCCACCGCTCGAAAGTTTATATTAGTTAACAAGGAACTGATCAGTATGCCGTCATTTTGGAATTGTGATGTCAATCGATGCATGATTGTCCATGTTTCATGTTGGTTGTACTTGAATTGGCAGGGCCTTAAACAGTTTTGGAAGAGCTTTGCGCCCACACCCCACCCCCCAGAACCACAAGATGACTATAGGGCTTGGATTGGAGCCTGGTTCCTGGGCCTTAAACTGTTTTGGAAGAGCTCCCACCGTCCCCCAAGAACCACAAGATGACTAGGACTTGGATTGGAGCCTGGTTCCTGGTCAAATGATCTGTTTATTTCACGTCTAATTGTTGACGAATTACTACACGTGACTGTAGTGCTTGCAGGATGTTAGTTTTCACGTGTCAAATCGAAATTTCCTCAAGTCACGATCGGCTTGATGGATCACATGCAATAGCATTGACATTTATAACCCTATTATTCAAATTTTGTAACTTCTGTCATGTATACAAAAAAAAAAAAAAATATGTATGTACTGTGTTAAAAAATCATGTTGTATGATTATATATCTTGTAGCCTTGATGGGAGAGAGAGAGGGAGAAATGGGGTTTAACGTCCACTCGACACAAACTAGGTCATTTTGGGACTAACATATGGTTTAATTTTATTTCCTTAATTCGCTTGCGCGTAGGGGTCTTTAGCAGTGGGAGGAAACCGGAGGACCCAGTGAAAACCCACTAGGTTGGACAAGCGACCCTACTCCTTGTCACGTACAACCGGGGATTCAAAACCGCGCCAGTTGACTCATTGACAGGCTTTATGATACAGCGCGCACGTGCTTACCTTTCGGCCATCACCCCCCCCCACCCGTGTTTGAGGCTGTGGTAGCTCAATAATTAAGACATTGACTTGCAAACTTTGAGGTCACGTGTTCGATCCTGGTGTTGGCTGAGAAACTTCATCAGGGTTTTCCGATTTGGATCCTCCTTCTCATTGGTGCAGGACAGGGGCCCTGGCAAGGGACAATGTATAGTCGTTTGGATGGGACAAAAAATAGAGGTCCTGTGTACACATTGGAGTGCACGTAAAAGAACTCTTGATAGTTGGAATTTGAAATAATAGTAGGCCATAAAGCCGCTGTCAGGGCAAAATTTCCTTTATAGCTCACTGCAGGGTATAAGTCCGATTTCATTAGATCTGTCAGTGTAGAACATTACTTTCATACCATCTCTCTCTCACTTTTCTTATTAATTAGGACGCCGGCTTCTACACATATTTTTCTGACAATAGAGCCTACGCTAATTGTAGGCCGGTTGGGAAGATTCGGCTATTTCAGGAGTCTAAAATGGCAGCTTTATATAAATGAGAATTTTTGGGAATACTAACCCGAACCCTAACCCTTTTAAGAGGGGTAAAAGGTAAATTGGATCTCCCGATAGCTATAGGTGACACTGGTTTGTTGATGTTGTCTGGAGGAGGGGTGGCCGAATGGTTAACGGTTTACTGTGTGCGCGGTACATCAGAAGGTCTGTCATTCAGTCAAGTGGCGTGGTTTTGATTCCCCACTTGTGCGTGACGAGGAGCAGGGTTGCCTGTCCAACCTCAAGCGTTTTCTCTGGTTTCCTCCCACTGCTAAAGACACCTACACTCAAGCGAATTAATGAAATAAAATTTAACCGTATTTGAGTCCAGAAATGACAAGAGATTCAAAATCCCTCAAAAGACGATACCAGCTGTTAATGCATTTTAAAATATTTATAGAGTTTTACCGAGTTTTCACATTCTTTAGCCGCACATACAAATTATCTCTTCTTTCTGTAATCAAGCTTCGTAGAAAAACGTGTGAGTTCACGAGAGAGAGAGAGAGCAATTCTGTGATATTTTTACTTGGGAAATCATCACTCATTAATGATTTAGTTTAGATGTCGGTAATTATTTAAGAATGGTGCGTAGACATTGATTTTTTCATAAGAATGAGGAATGGAATTAGCAATGTTGCGATGGTAATTAAAGTTTTTTTTACCCCGCAAGCCATTATTATGTAAACATTTTTACGTGAAAGCGTTTTTATACTCATTAAGAAACTACTCTTTTTAGCGTCTGGCTACTGTTTTCGCTCACAAGAAGATGAATATTTGTAGAGTTGGTAGACAGCATTTTTGTCTGTCAGCTTTAATTTATTTGTTAATTGAGGGTAGAAGATCAGGAGCGAAAGAGGGTGGGTTGGGATGATCTAGAGTGTCGTGCTTAGAGCTCTAGCTGCCCCATCACCTCTGACTTGTGGTCATGGTTTCGGTCGCTGGTGTATGCGTATGTGGCTTGAAGTTAAGAGTTCCTTCTCAACTTTGTGGGTTTATTTTGGATTCTCTGGTTTGATAATAAGAATTTAACAGAAATACTAATAAGACATCTTGTCTACGATATCACTCTTGGTGGAAGCTGTCAGGTAATTAGAGAAGGGAGGTGGGGGAGAGAATTTTTGTCGTTAAGCTTTGAATTAAGAAAGGGTGGTAGTAAGAAAAAGATGAATGGAGGATTTTGTACATATAGGCTAACCATCCTTTGCACTCTGATCTGCCTGCTATATCACAATAAGCATAGCAATGGATAATGAGTTGTCAATGCTCATAAACATTGCTTCACAAACATGAACTATAGAAAGTTAGAAAGCTACTATAAAGCTCTGATCTGCCTGCTATTTTACAAAAAACATAGCAAAGGATAATGAGCTATTGATGCTCATAACCATTGCTTCACGAATACGAACTTTGGAAAGCTACAATAAAGCTTTGATCTGCCTGCTATATCATAATAAGCATAGCAATGGATAATGAGCTGTTGATGCTCATAACCATTGCTTCACAAACATGAACTTTGGAAAGCTACAATAAAGCCGTATTGATTTCTACAAATTTTAATCTTTGATGAGCTGTGTTTGAACAGAAAGAGACATTTTCTAAACCAGTGGACTAATTGGATTCTCAGTAGACGTGGACAAAAGGAGCCTATAACGGATCAAAATAGCCAGAACTAATGCATATAGGCAGGTGCTTTTTGTACTCAGTCAGACAAGATTGGGAATTATACGCCTATAGATCAATAACAATATTTAGAACTACACATGGTATGTATGGTGATTGTATGAATACTGAGTAGAGATATGAAATGAAATTGGGTTTAACATCCTACTGTTCTGCTCCTACTGGACTATTGAAGACACGCATATGCCATACAGTGTGCTATGAAGGAAATTTTACCAGGGCAGCCGCACTATGGCCTTCTCTTATATCAAATTCCAACTGCCAATGGATCTATTACGTGCACGGCAATGTATTCACGGGACCTCGGTTTTTCATCCCATCCAAATGACTAGACAGCTGTCTTTGTCAGGCTCTCCGCCCTGCATCACTGACAAGGGGAAACCACATCAGAAAATCCTGATGAACTTAAAAGATGAAAAAAAAAAAAAAAAAAAATCAGATACAAATGCACATGAGAAATTTTTAGGTATGTGCATGTGCCGTTGTCAGTGGTGCATGACTGAGGACCTATCAAGGAACAGTGTCTAGTCATTCGTATGGGATGAAAATCTGAGATCTCGTGTACACATTAAAGATCCCTTGACAGTTGGAATTTGAAATAAGAGTAGGTCGTAGTGCTCCTATCTAATACTAGGTTACTACTATCACGATTCGTGCTATGCTTGAAATCGTGGTTTTAATCATACAGTAATTGTGGTGATCCTATCAGGTCTTATCATATATTGAGGTCAGTCGTAGAAATCGTGTTGATCGTATCGAAACATATCCCAACATATCTGCATGTACTAGATCGTGGACTCAATAGGGACAATACTATCGTAACGAATCGCACGACAGTGGTAACCTAGCATAAGCAAAATTTCCATAGCACACTGCATGATCTATGCCTGTCTTCATTAACCTGGTGGATGCAGAAAAGTAGAACATTAAACGCCTTTTAAATTCATTTCAATTCATTTCATTTTTTATGAATATTCATTTTATTTATTTGTCTTTTCAGCCCTGAAGTTCGAAGTTTTCTCTCTCTTGATAACCCACGAAATGTTCAAGACGATTTAGACCCAGACCAGTTCTCCGATACTGAAACCATGGTAAGACCAACTTTTTTTTCACCACATAGTTCTTGTTTCAAAATGGAGTTTTGAGAAATATGCTAGCTTTACAGCATATAAATTGACCAATGGTCAATTTTTAACACAAACAGTCTAGACCAAATTATAGGGTCAAGTTCAAACCCATGGTCACAAGGTAGTTGATGTCACTGCTCTATTTTTAGCTACTCATTGATCACCTAAATGATTAAACAATTGAATTTCTTGACACTCTGATGTAAATATCTAATTACACTGGTAAATTTATAACAATGGTCTGAGAAATCCCTCTCTGCCCATTGTTGGATTGGCTTCTGATACTTGAGCTTTTGAGGGATGTGTGTATTCTTCCCGTTCAATCAAATCTACCCCAAATACAGCAACATGGCAGCCCTTCGTTTAATCTGGGGTCTTTCCTAAAACTTTGTACAGTGATTTAAGGTATTAAAAACTGCTAAAGAAATGAAATGAAATGGGGTTTAACTTCCTACTGTTCTGCTCCTAAACTCCGCTAATAAAGACGGGCATATGCCATACAGTGTGCTATGAGGGAAATTTTGCCCGGGCAGCGGCGCTGCGGCCTACTCTTATATTGAATTCCAACTGCCAAGGGATCTTTTACGTGCACGCCAATATGTACACAGGACCTCGGTTTTTCATCCCATTCGAAAGACTAGACTGCTAAAGACCCCTACGTGCAATATAGATGTTATTTGAAAGGAAAAAACCTTAAAAAATCAAGTTAAGTTTTTTTTTACTGTACTGAACGGTAGATCTCTGTCTCTGATATGTTCAGTGCGAGTCCAACATTTATATTCAAAGTACAATATTGTCATGGATTTTGAATATGTTACGTGAAAAAGTCCAAAATTGACCAGATAATTTTTTTTAAAAAAATGTCAAATTTCTATACTTTAAACTAAATTTTTTGCAAATGCTTAAAAAAAAAATATTTTGTTATTTCTATCCTTAAACTAAATTTTTTACAAGTGCTAAAAAAAAAAAGTATTTTGTTATTTCTATCCTTTAAACTAAATTTTTACCAAACACTGAAAAAGAAAAGTATTTTGTTATATCTATTTTTTGTTATTGTTATAAAGTTTCATGAAGGACATGGAAAGGACAAATATTCTAAATGTTATAAATTAAGTCATATATGATACTATCACCTCATATCTAAATATATACAGTTACCGTAGATTTATAGTCTTTAAAGTAGCAATATAGGGAGCAGGGGCGTGGTCACCCATATGATTATGCGTGAGGAACAAGATCCCGTCCGGGCCCCCCAAAAAGCAGTATTTGTATGCGTGTGTGAGGGAGGGGTGGGAGTGGGATGGCAATCCTTCCCAGTGCCACCGGGTAATACTGGGCTCTCTGGAAGATGCTAGAGTCGATTTGTAGCAAAGCTTTTCATTCCGCCCCCTCTCTCAATTAGCCGCTGATTGGGAGAGAGACTGAGAGAGAGACAGGCTGGGCGGGGTTTAACATCGACTTGACACAAACTATGTCATTTTGGGACTAGCGTGTGGAACCAGACAAAACCCATGAGGCTGGACATAGACTATGTCATTTTGGGACTAACATGTGGGACCAGACAAAACCCATGAGGCTGGACAGAAACTGGAACTAACATCTGGAACCAGAGAAAACCCATGAGGCTGGACAGGCGACCCTACTCATCGTCACATACAAGAAGGGAATCGAATCCATGACAGTTGACTCCATGACAGACCGTATGATCCATTTAGCCACCAATTGCAAGAAGTTATGATTGTTTGAGGGGGGTTGGTTGGCCGAATGGTTAGCGTGTGCGCGCTGCATCATAAGGCCTGTCATTGAGTCAACTGACGTGGTTTCAAATCCCCGGTTGTACGTGACAAGGAGTAGGGTCGCCTGTCCAACCTCGTGGGTTTTCTCCGGGTCCTCCAGTTTCCTCCCAGTGCTAAAGACCCCTACGCTTAAGCGAATTATTGAAATAAAATCAAACCATATGTTTGTCCCGAAATGACCTAGTTTGTGTCGAGTGGACGCTAAACCCCATTTCTCTCTCTCTCTCTTTATGGTTGTCTGAGGTTTTGACAAGGATAGCATAGTCTTGATTGTCATTGCTACAATAATAAACACAGTCACAATTATTCATTTTATCGGTAAGTTATTAAATAGCAAAGATCTTCTCATCCATTAAATATCTAAGCTATGAGCTTGTCATGTAACATTTAAAAAAAGACCTGCAATAGGTAGATGCATCTTTAACAATTAGAAAGATTGTGGGCTGATTAAAGGGAAAGTTCACCCAAGCAGGTTATTTTGCTTAGTCATAGTAACCACATTATGTGTTGAAAAGTTATTAAAATATTAAAGATACTTTATGGGAAATTATGGGAGATTAGATAAAGAGCTGGCAGTTCTCACTCTAATAGTTTAAACCTAGATAATGTAAAGGCTATTTGCTGAAAGTTTCATTCAAAATGATCCACTATGAACCGAGAACTAAGCGATTGAAATTTCCGTCTAGCCTCGATCATCATTACTTAAGTCAGTACGATAAACAACATAGTCTCGATTATCCATTTAATCGTTAAATCGTGAAGGAAAGTTATGCAGTAAATCGGCTCATAATCCGCTAAAGGTCGCAGGCTAGCGATGCCATCAAGAGTTGATTATGGTCTGGATACGTTAATTAATGACTAATTAATAATTTAGATAACATTCCAGGCCTAAAGAAAGACCTGCAATAGGCAGATTTAGCTCTTGCATAATGTATGTTTAAATTTTAAAAACCAAAAAGTATTAATAATAAATGGCTTATTCAATTTCGTATTGCCTACTGTTATATCAGTGTACTAGGACACTCATTAGGGGCATGATTGTCTGTCATAATGACACAGTAAAGGCTTACCGGTATTTATATAATAACAGTTACTACAACGAGCAGCACCAACATTCTTGTCCATCGATATTTCTCAACCAATCAAAACTAAAAATGTTGACTTCAAAGTGAACTAGCCTTACAGATATTTTGATACAATGTCGCCGCTCACTACCAATTTATATCTTCATAATTAAATGTATTGATAAAGTTTCTCAGGAGAGAAAATACTTTATATCATTATTAATATATTTTCCGGAGAATGTCTTGCTTACGTCAAACTCTGCTTTAATGACAAGTTTGACAAGTTTTTCTGGATTAAGTAGACATATTGTCTCTTTAATGTAGGTATAGCTACACCTGAGAAGCTATAACGAGATTGTGAAAATTTATTAACCAGCCAGGATATGACTGACCTTTAGCAAAGGTTATATACATCCATGTTATGCAGTATTATATATAGTTTGTGACAATCATTGTGCAAATTGCCATTGGATAATGCAGACAGTGTGACTGACACATGAAATGAAATGAAAAGTTTCTCTTCTTTGGATTAATATCATTTATTCAGTTGTAAGTCATTGTTGGATAAACCAACATATAGTGTCCGACCCTTGTCAGAGGTGGATAATAATGATATAAAAGTACAGTGACAAAATGTTTTTAGCTAGATGATCTTCCCGAATAGCAAAAACAGTGTTAGGTGAAATTAGTTGGTCTCCAACAATAAAAATTAAGTGTCTTGGATTATCATAATTATATGAGCAAAAAAGGTTTTTAACTACGTGATCTTCCCAAATAACAAATATAGTGCCAGGTGAAAACGATAAGTCTCTTCCAATAAAAATCAAGTCTCTTAATTGGATTATCATAAATTAATTAAAAAATTTGTTAATTGTGAATTTCACCTTGAGTGGTACAATTAGGGAAGTAGAATTGAAACAGAGTTCAATTACTGAGGTTTCATTTTTGTGTTGTGTGTGGTGCAGTCTTCCTGCACTGAGATTTCATAGTAACAATGGAGGAGGATATGGAAGAGGTATATATATATTTTAAAAAGATATTTTATTTTATTATTTCAACAATTTACAAAAAGTTCACAATTTTTACCCCAAAAAAACGCAGTAATTAAATGGACAACATTTCCCCAAATTTCATTACATAAAGGTGTAGTCCTTTGACCTCCAATTGTCCTGATTAATTATCCATCAATAAGAAGATACACTGGAGCTTCACTATAAGGCTGACCTTAAAAATATCTTTGTTTCGCCTAACGCGACCGACTAACTAAAACCACCCAAGACTTAAATTATTTTATTGCACTTTTCCGCGATCTTTTTATTTTATTTTGTGTGTCAACCTGAAATATATCACGAGAGTTATTTCCCTTTACTATGGCTATGGTTTGATTCATTATTGAAACTGGTTGATCAAGACGAAAGCGTCATAGGTGTCGCTTCTCAACAAAATGGTTGCAGACGAAAGCACGTCCATTCCCACGAAATGATTCTGCCTCTATGTCTGTGGGGCGTCGTTTTAAACATGACGACGATATTTTCAATATCCGTTTTCGAGAAAAATGAAGGCACAACCCGCACGATCGTTAAAAACGTGTTGAGGGAGTTTCAAACGTGAGTTTGTCGCAATTTGTGTGCGAGTCGTGCATCAAGAAAAATCCCGATGTCATTGATTTGTTTGCCAATAAAAGAAGACGAATGTTTGCACCCGGAAAATTATCAAGCTGTCAAATTAGCTCTTAAAAAAAAAAATCTGAAAAAAACCCGACCTACCGACCCTTCTCCTCGATTGTGGGTCGGGTTTGGTGAAACAAAGATATTTTTAAGGTCAGCCCTAATGCTGTTGTTATAGTGAGTCCCCTATAAATTAGACTGAAGGGTTTCTCTATAGTGTTGGGGTTGGATGGCCGAATGGTTAGCACATGCGCGCTGTATCATAAGGCCAGTCATGGAGTCAACTGGCGTGGTTTTGAATCCCCGGTTGTACAAGACAAGGAGTAGGGTCGCCTGTCCGACCTTTATGGGTTTTCTCCGGGTCCTCTGGTTTCCCCCTACTGCTAAAGACCCCTACGCGCAAGCGAATTCTTTTTCTTTTGTGCTATTGTTACTGT